TATGCCTCCAAACCTATGCGAAGCACATAACAAAAAATTATTTGCATAGCAACTTTATAAAACAATTCTATGTCAACATGATCCATATTTTTTGTCGAAGTTGAACTAGCTTGTCAAATAAAATTTTGTTTACCGAATAGTAGGATGACCATCTAAACCCTCCAAGTGGGTTGTGAGCTGTGACACCACGTCGTTCAAATGATTGAGTTGTACTTGTTGTGCCTCTGTTCTTTTTTTTCTTCATCGACCTGTTTGATGAACTGCTCTTTTTCCCTCATAATTTCCTCTCGATCTCTTTGGCGCTCCTCTTTCTCTTTCAATAGCTCCTCGTGATCTCTTTGGCGCTCCTCTTTCTCCTTCAAAAGCTCCTCGTGATCTCTTTGGCGCTCCTCTTTCTCCTTCAGCAACTCCTCGTGATCTTTTTGACGGTCCGAATGAAGAACCTCCAGCTCTGCTCTCTTTGACTCCATATGTTTATCACATGCTCGTACCGCACTAGAAGCTGTGGAAGAGGGTTGTGGGCCTATCCCACATCCACGCAAGTAATTTTTTTTTTCCCCGAGCACTTGCCTTGATATTTCTTCGTGGGTCAATGACATCCCCACATTGGTGGCTACCACTTGTAGATTCACCATATCGTCCTGTCATGGCAACAAAACAATAAAGTCAAGATGGGAGAAGGAATGTAAAATAACTTTACTACTAGACATGCAACACACTTGGTTTCAACATTCAATACTCACATGTAGCTCACCACATTTGGGGTCAATCCAATCTCCCATCTTCTTGGACTTGTGTGCTTTCTTATAAAGTTCAAGAAAATCTATATCTCCATCCTCATTTCCCTACTAGGTTTGGAAAAATTCCATTAACGAATTAGTACATGGTAATATTCAAAATGAAGAAGAATCAATCATCCATTACATTAGTAAATTAACTTCTCACCATAAGCGACATTGCTATAGGAAATGATTGCGATCCACTTGTATGATTATAGGGGAGCATACCCCTATTTGCTTTACCAGCTTTTGAACGTTCCTAAAAAATAGGAACAAAAAAAAAAACAAAATAAAAAAAAATTAGTGAACAATTTTTACATATTAAAACATAAATTAATTTCAATAATGGGGTTTCAAATTAATTTGTTACCAAGTGAGATTCGTCTTTCCAAGCAACATCAATCAGATATTTCCAGTCCTCCAAGCTCACTCCACTGGGCGGATGACTATAGGGGTCATCAACACCCTTTTCCTCAAGTTCGAGGAACTCTTGCTTTAGATTGTACCTCCAATCCTTGTATAGCAAATACGCCTTTCTATCGAGGATCTGCTGAGCTTGTACATCATTATCAAAATCATTGCCGATAACAAACTTTTCCTACAAACATAATAAGAGAATTAGTACAACAATTAATTTATGCAATTACAAATAACATAATGAAGGCATTATGGCTAGATAATTCTCATACTAGCACCGCTTGGATGACCGCATCTTTGGTAGTTTCATCAATTTTTCTCCATGACTTCATGCTCTGAAGAGGGCACAACCGTCTAATTTGAAGGCTCAACTCATTCGTCGCTAGGGTGGCATTCCCTCCTGTGATTGCGTTCAACACCTGATTGACATAGACATGTAATTTCTCCCCCTTTCTCCTAGTAGTTTTTTTTTTGCACTCCTTTGCCTAATGTTGGTCCTCGTACAATCATCGCCGATAACAAACTTGTCCTACAAACATAATAAGAGAATTAGTACAACAATTAATTTATGCAATTACAAATAACATAATGAAGGCATTATGGCTAGATAATTCTCATACTAGCACCGCTTGGATGACCGCATCTTTGGTAGTTTCATCAATTTTTCTCCATGACTTCATGCTCTGAAGAGGGCACAACCGTCTAATTTGAAGGCTCAACTCATTCGTCGCTAGGGTGGCATTCCCTCCTGTGATTGCGTTCAACACCTGATTGACATAGACATGTAATTTCTCCCCCTTTCTCCTAGTAGTTTTTTTTTTTCACTCCTTTGCCTAATGTTGGTCCTCGTACACGAGTTGACCTCGTTTGCCCTGGTACAAAAGGGGAAGGAAGTCACAAATTACAAACATTGCTAATGAACTTCAAAAAAAAAAGGTAGCCGTTGTGGGTCCTCTTTGTTTTTTCGCTGCCTACTATTGCTACCAGCTACTGTTTCGCTGCATAAAGTCAAACATAAATTATGCTACAACTTGGATTTCACTGCTATCGATGCAGTTGGGGGAACATTCAATTGGCGGTTACTGATGTTGTAGCTGATTTCAAGGTTGTTTAGCTAATATTTTATTTGTTGTGGAAGTGCCCTTGTTATGTGCAGAGTAATGTTTGGTTTTTTTTCTTTGTTTTTCTTTGTCTTTATGGGGTTTTCATCGCCTTACTTGATGACTTATGCACCCAAAAAAAAAAAAAAAATTTTTTTTAGCTTACAACTAAGTTCAATGCTCTTACTCACTCTACCTGGCTACGTCTCGTCCACCACTGTTTGTGTATTATCTGGTGGTTACGTCTCATTAGAGAACGTCAGCGGGGTGCCAATCTCCTGTGGACATGCTTCAGAGGCTGATAATATGTTGCCACTTGTTGCTCTCTTCCGCTGGCCCGTCTTGATTCCAGGAACCATGGTACCTACATTACGTAACAAACATACCTGAATAATTGTTCCTGACAGATCTTTTGCATTACAAAACGTCAACTTCCACGTAAATAAAATACATAAAGGTTCTCAGATGAGAGACCCCCTCTTGTCTCTATTCCATGAAATAAAATACATAAAGGTTAGCACTGATAAGTACTATGTTCGTAAATGGTGCAGGTACCTGGGAGTTAGGACACTAAGTGAGAGGCAATTGAGGAATCAAAGTGATAATATCTCATTATTGAAAATTGTTATCAGACGATCACAAAGTATGAAGAGTTTTTTTTTTTTTTTTGGATAAGCATGAAGGATGAAGAGTTAAGTTATTACAAGTATGCAATCAAAAGAGGTTGCAAATTGATTTATGATATACCACGGTCATGATTGTCAATTGGCTATAATAACCTATCTTTTTGATAAGTGCCAACAGACCATAACTTATATATTTAAGTATGTGTTTAAAGTATAATAGTTTCTCATAGTTTCTAATATGTCACTATTGAAAATTGTTATCAGACGATCACAAAGTACGAAGAGTTTTTTTTTTGGATAAGCATGAAGGATGAAGAGTTAAGTTATTACAAGTATGCAATCAAAAGAGGTTGCAAATTGATTTATGATATACCACGGTCATGATTGTTAATTGGCTATAATAACCTATCTTTTTGATAAGTGCCAACAGACCATAACTTATATATTTTAGTATGTGTTTAAAGTATAATAGTTTCTCATAGTTTCATGTCTGAATATGCAAGATTAAAAAAATGATGAAACCAAGCCACTTTGTATAACATCATGCTTCAATATGAGACTATACAGTTTAAATGAATTAGAGTCCATCCCAAAAATAGAAGAAGAATAGAACTTTTGATTCACCTCCCCTTCCCTCTAAATGGCTACAACTTACAACTATTGGCTTCAGCATAATTAGTAGGAAAATTAATCCCCCTTGAGGTAAATGCAGTTTCTAAGCATGTTCCTAGAGTAGTGACAGATCTTTGGTAAATTATGATGGTTAAAATCGTGAAAAAACCTGAGAAAAGTTCTGAGAAGCTTTGGCATTTTATTAGGAAGGCTTCATTTCCCAAGGGAATGGCTAATATATAATACAAGCAAAAAAAAAAAAAAAAAGCACAGTACTTTGTACATATATAAAGTTGATTTGCTAGACAAGGTAAAGTTTGGGCTAGAGTTGATTTGACTATGGTTACATCAGAGGTCTCCAGGCATCATCTGATATTTGTAAAAGCCAGCATAGGAGCATTTCTATCAGATTATTAGCTCACATCAGTTTTAACAATTCTTTGCCCAAAAACAGATACCATCATACCATAGATAGAATACTACCAAATTTTCAAAACAAATTTCAATATGATAGTACCTAACCGATCTTTGAGGTTACTAGCTACAGAAATTAGGAACATGATCTACAAACTTTTCATCTATGCATATGGCAGAGCAAAAAAAAAAAAAAGGTCGAAATCTGTCAAATGAAAAACATACCAATGGGCATATATTATATTTCCATATATGATCGCATTCAATGTTGAATGTTTCTGTTTTGCCTCCTTAAACCATTGACCTGCAGCACTGTCAGAACAACAAGAGATAACTATTAGATCTCAAATATACATGATAGTCCATCCCGCCATTTGTACGTGACAAATATCCATAAATTATGTCTAAAAAAGAGTCATTGCTAGAGAGACAGTATTTAAGGCTCAGTCGGAGACGCCAAACTTCAAGGTTTCAAGTCCTATGCCAAACAAAAAGCTTGTTCAAAAAGTAATAATTGTTTGTCAGTTATGAATCCTTCAAGAGCTTTAAATTCTGATCAAATTTGTCATACTTCATTTGCAGTTTTTTAGGTTCTAAAGCAAGAAAACAAGCTCTAGTCCCATTACAAAGCAACCCATCAGGAACTATTCATGCTAAGGTAGCAAGTCATTGCAACATGGTAATGTTTCACTACTATTTAAAGTGAGTCAAGTTCCATAAAATTCCAAAACTTGATAAACTTAATTCCAGTATAAGAATAAATTTTTCCCCTAAATCAACTACCAAAAATTATAATCCAAAATTTCAATAGTGGTGTTAGTACTAAGGAAACACAGAAAACAAGCAAAAGGGCTGAAAAGCATATCCAACTAAAAGTTTACTCAGTCAGGTTATAAAAATGGAACTTAATTCCAGTATAAGGAGAACATTAAAATCCTAACTTTTTCATGAAAAGTAAAAGGGCTGAAAAGCATATAGAAATTGATGAATGTTTTTGAGGGGCAATTAGAGACTTTATTGTAAAATCCCCAAGCCTAATGTCTAGATAGCAGTCTCAAATCAACTAAATTGCAATCCACAGAAAGTATATGGTGGACCATGGAATTGAAGGGTGTTACCAAAAATGCAACCCACAGACCACATATCCACGGCAGTTGAGTAATGAGTTGATCCTAATAAAACCTCTGGAGCTCTGTACCAAAGAGTAACAACCTGTGGAACAAAAAAAATAACAGATGCAACAAATAGAAAAATTAAAGAGCATAAATGCATAGGGAATGAAACTGAGATTCATCCACTGGACAATTGACATGTACAAATTGATAAGAAGACGGACCTCATGGGTGTAGCTCTTGAGAGGAACATTGAAGGCCCTTCCGAGACCAAGATCTGCAATTTTCAGGATGCCCTTCTCCTTGTCTACCAGAAGGTTTTGAGGCTTCAAATCTCTGCAGAGAAGAAGAGAAAAACAAACACAACAATTGTAAATTACACACACACAAGAACACAAGATTTACATGATTCACTCCAAAACTAGAACTAAGACTAAAGTCGTTGCAATTCCATTACGATCACAAAAGTTTATACAAGAATTGAAGAGATTTACATCACAATCAACTACATATACCTAGAATTAAGACAATAATCACAAGTGCTAAAATACAGAAAAAACCCTTAATCACAAAACCAGTAGCAAATGTGTTTTATTTATGTTGTGCTTTGTTTCCTTCAAAACATATTTTGAAATGCCTAAATGTTGTGTCAGATTAACAACCACCACAACATGAATAACAACCAAATAGTAGCACACAAAAATAGCAGTCAAGCATCAAGTAGCCAAAATGGACAAAAACAGTAGCGATCTATCAAATTCAGCAAATAGATACAGAGCAGAAAACCAGTAAATCTGCCACAGATTGTAGGAAAATCAGCCAAACAGCATAGCTGACTGAATGGAAAATCTGACATGAGTAAGAATTTGATTTTCAATTTTCTAACAAAGTTCATAGAAATCGTAGAGGAAATTAGTTACAAGGGTAATAAGTTCATGTAATATGAATGTACTTTGGAAATTGGGGTCCGAACAAGAAGAAGAAGAAGAATCAATACATAACTAGTCTACTCACCATATTCTTAATTGCCCCCATTACATCAACAAAATAAGCCGGACAAAGAAACAAACTGGGTTAAAACTCTAGGTCCGTATCCGTATCAAAATCACTTTGTATCTCATCTTCTTCTTCGTCATCACCCGCGATTGTTAGTTCATCATCGTCATCACAGATGAAAGCATGATCCATAACACCCTCAGGTTGTACACGCTTATTGGACTGAGAAACTTCCATTGAAATAATTTCAGGTTCAATGTCATCCCGATGCAAAACAACATTATCATCAATAGGCTCAGTTGGTACAACAGCACTGGCTTCATCATCTTGCAACACTTCATCAAATTCTGGCACATCCAGCTCGGGCACATCCCAAATTTGTCGATGTTGAAACTTTTCCACAACTCGCCAATTCGGCCCTAACTTCGTATCATGAACATAGAAAACTTGTTAAACTTGGCTTGGGAACACAAACGAGTTATTTTTATACCATTGACTTCTTACGGCAACAGTTGTCACATGTGGTTCGACACGCAAAGTTCGACTACTACCGGTGTTATACCATTCACATTGGAACAAAACAACCCAATGTCCAAACAAAAATGTCAGTTCCCACGCTTTAAAAAGGTAGCCGTAGAACTTTATCAATTGGCCTTGGTGGTCGCCTTCCACTACCAACCCACTATTTTGACCTTTACGACGGTTATCGCGGTCGATAGTATGTGTGATATCCCTGTTCCGCAATATGTTAATTGGTCCTTAATATGAGTATGGTTATGTGTTTAACATGATTTTGTGTGCCATTATGTGAAAATATGTGGTTTTGAATTTCTATCTGTTCACCGTAGGAATATCTGTTTGATTATCTGCTTTGGGAATTAAATTGAAGGCCCTATCGGCCACCGAAACCAAAATTGATTACGCCATTGTGATTAGCGTAATTTTTAGAGCCTACGGTGAAATTTAATTGGAAATTGATTCGGATCAGATTAAATTGATTTAATTAGTGAATTAGTGCTCTATTATTATATATTAAAATAATATAACAAGAGGGGCTTTTATATGAGCACTACACACTCAATTTCTCTTCTTTAGCTTGACTTGGCTGATTATAAACTCTAAGGAAAAAGAGAGGGTTGGCTAGAGAGAGAGAGAGAGAGAGAGAGTGAAGGAAATTGGAGTTTTGGCCTCAAAGCTTGGTGATCTTGAAGGCACACTCAAGAATTTACCATAAATTGTAAGGATTAAGCTCCTAGGTGAGTAATCACCCCTTGGTTCAGAAGTTTGAACTTGTGATTTTGTGTATTCAAGCTAGTTGCGTGATCAAGAGTAAGTGTTAACATGATTTGAGTTGGTTTTGTTGATTTGGTAGTCTATATGCACATGCATGCGAAGAATTGTTTTGAAATTGCATGTTTGAGCACAAAATGTATAATCCATGGGAGATTTTGATTAAAGCTCTTATTTTGACCTTCTCTTCATCATCTAAGTTGAGAATCAGAGTAATTTTCCACATGCATGTACAATTCACAAGGGTGTAAGTGTTGAATGCATGAAATTATTATGTTGGTAATGAATTTGGTGTAAATTGGGACATGCAAGTGATTAATTTGTGAAATTGAGCTACATAATGTTGTGATTTGGTGTTTATACCATGTTAGTACATGTATATGTGATGTTTGAGCCAAAAGCAAGCATCTAGAACCTTTGAATGTCGAATTGAAGGTCAAGAACATGTTCTGGATTTTCCATAATTTTGATTCCCGCTCGAGCAGGGAAACTGCCGCTCGAGCGTGAAATTCGTGTTCCCAGTATTTTCTGCAGACATGGTGTCCACTCGAGCGGGGAAGTTCACGCTCGAGCGGGGAGCCATGTAGAGAGGCCTTCCGCTCGAGCACCAGAGTTCGCGATTGAGCGTAAATTTGACATATCCAGTACTTTTGCAGGCCTCAAGGGTCCGCTCGAGCGGGGAAGTCCACGCTTGAGAAGGGACCCTATTTTCTGAAATTTTGAAAAGACATTCAGTGTTTCATTTTCTGTTCTCTTTCACTTCCAAGTATTCTTAGGCATGCATTGAGCATTGTAATTGAGTTAAAGAGACAAGAATGAAGCCTAAAGAGGAAAATGTGAATTTAGAACGGATCGAATTGTTTATGACCCTTTTGTGTTCATGGAATGTGTAGGGTCAAGTTCCAGGGCAAACCAACCAACTGATCACTGTGAGTAATATCTTAACAAAGATATCTGAAATATGTTGTTGTCTAATTACTTACTTCTATGTAAGTTTTATAAGTTCATTGATTCGATTGGTGGACAATGTTTGCTATACCAAATGAGTGGGCCAGAGGCCAGTCTGATCTGAATAATAGAATGAATGGCCCAGAGGCTATTTTGACATGAATGGATGGGCCAGAGGCCGTTTTGACATGAATGAATGGGCCGGAGGCCATTTTGACATGAATGAATGGGCCGGAGGCCATTTTGACATGAATGAATGGGCCGGAGACCGTTTCGACATGAACGAATGAATGGGCCAAAGGCCATTTTGTCATTTGAATGGGCCAAATGCCGTTTTGACATAAATGAAAGTTTGAATGTACCAAAGGCCAGTTTGTTTGGAACCGCAGTCACTTAACCTAAATTGTGTAAATATGTTAAATAGAAATATGAATTGGGACTAAGGCCGTTTGAAGCATGTTGTTCTACATATCGTCCGTATAGCTTCTTTAATTGATATTATTCACTGGGCTTTCGCTCACGCTCATTTATGTGTTTGTAGGTGAGCCAAGAGAAGTCCAAACCCAGCCCCAGTGAAGTCTATGTGGAACAACAAAGGTTTTGGGAGAGTCAGCCCTTGTGTCTCACGCACGAGACCCGTCTTCACCCTTTTGTTATGTATTTATATTCTGTCATGTTGGCGAAGACTTTGCATCTGTTGTATATAGTCGTGATGGGTTGACTTAGACTTATATGATCCTGTATGTACAGAACCTTATGTAGTACATATTTTGTTGTGAGTTATTAATAGGGGTGCAACTTGGGCGGGCTCAACCCGAGCAATCCGAGCGCAGCCCGAATTTTTTTAGGGCTTGGACAAAATATTTTCAAATTCGGTACAAGCTTGGGAAAAAATTCAGAAGCCTGAATTAAATGTGGATGGGCTTGGACAAAGATGTCAAACAACCCGAGCAACCCGAAGCTCGAATTATACATATATAGATATATAAAAATATTAAATATAAATATAAATTATTAGTCATTACATGATATTAAAGTAATTTATGTTATTAAATCATATTGAATATATATTATATATACAAATAACATAAAATCTTATTTTTTTTCTTTTTACTTTCACTCATAAATTGTAAGGACTACTATAGTGACATCTCTCTTACATTATATAAATTACTTATTTTGATGGTATGAATGATTTTCTATAATAAAAAAATAATACAAATTAAAAAAATTAAAAAAAAATTGAAATTCATTTACAATTCGGGCAATTCGGGAAATTTGGGTTTAGCTCGGGTTGGGCTTGGGCAGACAACCTCAGGTTACAATTCGGGTTTGGGCGGACTTGGGCAAGTCTCAGCACAACTTGGGTTGGGCTTGGACAACCTCCCAACCCGACTGAACCCGCCCGAGTTGCACCTCTAGTTATTAATATGCATATGTATGGTTTGCTATGATGTGCCACGTAAGCACAGCTCTATGGATAAAGTTTTAAATTGCTTCCATTTGGCCCCCATTAACTCTGTTAAAATACGTTTGTTTTGGTTCAAGGCCGTAGGTAATCTCTTGATTACTAGCCGGTTATGTCCTTAACCCACGGGGGCGGGTTCGGGTCATGACAGTATGGAATTAGATGCCATTACAAATGCATCCCGAATATGTGTTCACTAAGGCATTAGGTTCATTGGCTAATGACCACATCTCATCGGTTGCTTCGGGTGACTTTTGATTTTGCAATTGGTTCATCTACACAAGAAAGTATGTCATGTCAATTCGAACTTAGAATAATTAAACGTTATCTACAAACTATACACTAACGAGTTTTAGCTTACGCGATGTTTGAACCATTTAGGAGATTCTTTGCATTGTCACATTGCAATGTTGCATGAACTTCCATATTTTTGTTGCAACACGAGCTTATGTTCCCTAGTTAATACAATGTAAGTCATAAGTAATTGGTATAATGAAGACTTTAAAAAATAAAAACCATGTACAAAATGTATGTTGCATATATGATGAGGAATCATACTCTAGATATTCGTCCACTTCCAAACTATTGTGTAGGACAAACCAATGAGCCAATTCGCGGTCAGCTACGGACAAATCAATTGCCCTTGGGAGGTGACCAAAAGGACGAACATTTTGAGTGAAAATCGCCAACCTCGGGCCATTGTCACCCTTATCGTAGTTCCTTTCTTCCCGGCTAAACACCGTTTCAACTCCATGCAAATACAATGAACAAAACGTCGTACACTCTTTTGATTAAGAAGTCCGAGCATCCTACATGTAAACATCGGCCTGATCGTCAGTATGGTCATATTGAACTATAATTACATGAAAAAAGTTTTGACTCATAGTTATACCTCTCAATAGGATACATCCATCGATATTGCACAGGCCCTCCAAGCCTAGCCTCGTAAGACAAATGAATTGCCAAGTGGACCATCACATCAAAAAAAGCAGGAGGAAAAATCTTCTCAAGCTTACACAGTATAAGTACGATTTGTTCTTGCAATTTCTCCAAATCAGTCACTCTCAATGTCTTTGAGCACAACTGTTTGAAAAAGTTCCCAACTCAAACAATGTGGTCCCAATCTCGGTAGGAAGGTATCCTCACATCCCAATGGGAAGAAGTCATTGTAGAATGACATGACAGTCATGACTCTTCAGGCCAACTAACTTACCACCATTCGCAGTGCCACAATTGGATACATTTGCTGCATAGCCATTAGGATACTTAATCGATTTCAAGAAATTAGAAAACCCTATTCGTTCTGTCGGGGACAATGTGTACAATGCCGGAG